GTACAATGTTTGGGTACGTCACCTTACTTATTCTTCGTTTTTTTCCTTATGTAATTACGGTGTTATGATCAAAATTTAGTCAGTCTCGTGCAACGTATTTTTAATAGACAATTTCATGACGAATAATGTAATTAAATAATTTTGATCAGGCGCTCTCTTTGAATGGTGATTGTCATATGGGCAAAAATGTAATAACCAAAATGTAATTTTATAGATTACTCAGTGTACCTGTTTATACCCTTAGCACCTATGATATAAATACATATGTTTTCCACTGGCGAGAATTTTAAACGAGGTTAAAAGTGGCCTAATCCCAAATGTAATGTAAACACAGGTGCAGTTCGAGTTTTGTAATGACACGTAATTGACTTTAATTCATTTCTGAAGATCATTTATATTCACATGTTTTTACGCTATCATTTGTCATGTATAAGTGCTATTTTAGTAATAAAAAAAACATCTTACACACAAGCTTTTACGTCACACACACACACACACACACACATGCACACACACACACACACACACACACACACACACACACACACACACACACACACACACACACACACACACACACACACACACACACACACGGCAAACTGTACTGCTCCAGTGAAATCGAGGAATGTAACTGTAAAGCCTGACAAGATCTATACAGAGTTTTTCTTTTCAAATATACCATACGCTAATTGGCAAAAAAAAAAAAGAAAAAAAAATACGGCTCAAAAATACAGTTGCCCCCGCTTCCAACACTCCAGCATAAGAAGGAGAGTGCAGCAGAAGAGGAGATATGTATCTCCTTTGTGCTCACATTGCAGATGACGTGGACATAACGGGCGTGACTGTCGGTGGAAGGCCTCAGCTGATACGGCTGAACTCTTCGAATGTCGAAAATGTCAAATACAGAAAAAACAACTCTAGAAAATTTCCGCCCTATCTCTCTTCTGCGAAGCATCTGCAAAGTATTTGAAAGGGTAATTGCTGAGCTTTTCATGAAACACGTTGAAAGCCAAACAGTTTGACTTTCGATCATTCCGTTGGACTGCTGGCCTTCTTTTACTAATTTGTAAAAAGTGCACGGGACTCCATTCAAGACACTCAGGTAATAGCTTTCAACAACATCGCCGGCGTCTTCGACCGAGTGTGACACAGATTATAAAACAAGCATAATCAATAATCTGTCTATTCAAATATCCAGTTGAGGCACTGGTAGCACCAGGATCTGCACATGGCCCAGTCCTTTGGAACGTCTATACTGATAGTCTCATCAGGAACATCCTGAAATATCGGCGTATACTGATATTGTACTCTCTCATTGCCATACGAACGTGAAGATTGTGGCGTAGTAGCAATGGCTATGGATTAAGAGCCAAGTCTTGCCGCCAACAAGACCCACGCAATGGTCATATTCCGTTCTCCAGCTGCATGAGACATCATGAAAGACAACATTTTAATGGCTAACTTATCTCAATTCTCGGTGTGGATATCAACAAAAGGTTAACATTCATTTGGCCCGTTAGCTGGTTCTGAAAAATGGCTTCTCTGAAGGTGACAGCCCTTCGACGCCTACCACATCTATTAAATCCTTTGTGATTTTTTACACTGTACAAGTCCCATCTAGAGCGGTCTTGATCGGAATCCTTAGAAAAGACATAATAAAAAAACGTCTGTTGCATACTTTATACTCCTCAAGTGCATTCCCGGATCTACTCGTAAGAAAAGAAAATCAAGGCCGTCGCCTTGTGGAACTGGAGGTACAAGAAAATTGCCACCTTATCTAATTCCAACCTCTCCTGCGCCGTGCGGACGTGGTGGTGCAGTGCGTGTTATAAAAGTTCCGCTAACAGAGCAGCCCTCAGCTCACTCCATTATGACTTCAGCCTGCGGTTCCTTCAAACTACAAAACCAAGAATGATCAAAGCCAAAAACACGAATCCCATGTTACCTTCGGGAGAACTGAACTCTTATTCCTCACAGTTCTGCTAACACACTCCAAAGTGTGGAATCACCTCAATCTCTGTGCAACAGTTCATAAATCAGTAATATACTCATGACATTTTTTTTACTACGATAAGCTACTTTAATATTAGCTCGTCTTTTAATTCTTCTTTTAAAACTCCGTGGCTATTTGTACATCAGATCGACATTTATATCAATATCTATCTAGCTATCTATATTTATTTATATACATACATACAATAGAGAGAGAGAGAGAGAGAGAGAGAGAGAGAGAGAGAGAGAGAGAGAGAGAGAGAGAGAGAGAGAGAGAGAGAGAGAGAGAGAGAGAGAGAGAGTGTTAGATCGGTGTCAGGAAGGACAGAATTCAGGGAATTCCATTGTGTATCCAGAGGGAAGCGCAGAAGGGATAATAGGGAAGGAAGGGGGGGTGACGCAAATGAAGCAAGGGGGAAAGGGATATGTTGGGAGAGAGAGAGGACGGGGGTAGATGTAGAAACATAAAGTGGGTGAAGAGGAGATGCAGAGAAGGATGTAGACACATCTTGAGAGGAAGGGGAGGGGAGGAGTGAAGGCTACACTGGATTAGGGAGTAAAAGAAAAATTTGGTTAATGGTTAATGGTTAAAGGCAAAAATAAATGTGCTAGACATCTAAGGTCATGTAGTACTATAGTAAATGGTGGTGAAGCGTGTTTGACTTAATGATTGGTTGTCAAAGCTGGGGAAAGGAATTGACGAATGAATGGGTTAAGGTCGGGTAAGGTAATGTAAAGGGGTTAGATCAAGGGAAAGATATATATGCGTTTGATGAAGGAAAATAGGTTGTCAAAGCAGAAAGTATATAGTGGATGGGTAACAAGAGGAAAGGATATGACGAAGGTCGGGTCTGTGAGAATGGAAACCGTGAATATTCTAATGAAGGATAGTTAAACTTTCGTTGATTTATGAGTGATAACGGTTGTAGTACGTGTTGGAGAATTTGAAGGGGAAGGAGCTAGAGGGTGGGATAAGGAATGAGAGGGGGGAGGTGGTGTTGTATCAGGAGGGGTATTAGGAGGTGGAGGGTCTGGGGAAAGGGATAGTCGTGATATAAGGTATTCACGTGTGTATCCAGTAAGGAGTGGAAAGGATAGAGGGGATGGCGGAAGGGTTAATGTAGGTGGGGCTGGAGTCTGGGGGGATGGGCTGTGTTGGGAGGGGGTAGGAAGATAGGGTGTATGTGGTGGATGAGGGGTTTTAGTTTGGGACTCAAATAGATAGTTTTGAATACCTTCAAGATTTTCTGTAATGGAATTGGTTGGGGAATTGTGTGAGACAAAGGTTTTCTTGTGAGGGGGGGAAGAGAAGACTGGTGTCTGAAGTGTAGGGGCAAAGGAAGGTGGAGGTGATTGTGTGGTAGGGGAAGAGGGGGTGGAACGTTTAGTCTGTCTGCTGCGGGTAATGCGGGGAGGGAGAGGGGAAGGTGTTGGGGCTGTAGTAGATATTGGAGTGTCTGGATTTAGGATGGCAAAAGAATTTGACTGGGGAAGGTAGGAGGTAGAAGAGGGGAAGTTAGATGGAGGAGAGATAGGTTTAGGGGAGGGTGTAGGAGCTTGGGAAGTAGGGTGAGTGGCAGAGTGAGCGACATTACTGGAATAGGGAGTAAGAGAAAAGCCTCGTCGACGTGCTTCCTGTCTGTCTGAATCTGAGAGTTGCTACCTCAGACTCAAATTTGTAGGTGGGGCAGCCCCTATAAATTACGTTATGGGGGCCGCCACAATTGGCACATGTGCGTGATTGTGCAGAGCAGTTTAATCGCGTATGGCCAGGTTGGACACATAGCGGGCATCTGGCGGTGGAACGGCAATGTTTGGCTGGATGTCCTAAACGCCAACAATTTTGGCACTGACGAGGAGGAGGTTGATATGGTCGGACAGGGAGGGATTCTCCACCGATGTAAATAGGAAAGGGAAGGTCATGTCTACGGAAAGTAATTTTGGCAATGTTAGTGGGGTTCTTACGATGGCCTCTGGGAGGAATGGAGTAGCATTATACTGATATCGCATCATAGTCCCTGAGACAGGCGAGTAAGTCTTCTCCACAATCTGACCAATTTTTGTTATAGATTTGGCAGTTTGTCGGGGAGATAGAATTAGTTCCGGTGCAAGTATTGAGGACTGGATGGAGTTCTGCTGGGATGGGGTTTCCATATAGATCAGTTGGTTTTCAGATGTTACTGTGACGAGACGGGCTACGGAAAAAGACTGCCTACTTGTTTTTGGAGACATTGCTGGAAGAGAAGGGTGTTGTCTAAGTAGGGAGCTGTGTGAGGGATAACGAAAAATCAGTCCCATTTGGCTAGGCTAAATAGAGTATTTAAGATTTTTGTAGAGATAGGGGTAGTAGAAGGATGGGGGCGTGTGAAAGAGGGAGTAGTGTTGAGGGAGGTAGTGTTATGGAGAGGTGGGCAATAAGGCTGTAAAATGGTAATAAGGGAGGATGGGGTAGCTGATGAAGAAGGTTGTGGGTGTTGAAGTTGAGCATGTTGGAAGAGTAGAAATGTCTCCTGGGGGTTGAGAGTTGATTAGGTTAGATACTGTACTAGTAGGCATTGAGGAGGGGGTAGTTGTAGTGTTCGGAGCCGTGGTCAAAGGAGAGCCTGGGGTCAGGGAATCAGGAGAGTCTGAATTGTTGGGGCTATTTGATAAAGGGGCAAGCCTCATTGCCCCTAATTATGGAATAACATTTTCATTGTTGGGGAGAGAAACAGTCCACCCCTCAGGGTCCCCATGAGGGGTAAGGGCTAGGCAAAGCAGGGGAATACCGTGCACATGGCTCCCTCAGGCCGTTCAGGACTGGCACAAAGTCAGCCTTTCATCCTTTCAGAACGGCTCTCACACCTTAGGAAGTGGATAGTAGAAGGGGTTGGAGAAGGGACAGAAATAAAAAAAAGGAGGGGAAAAAAATTAGTTGAGTCGAGGGCTGAGTCCCAAAGTTGGGGAGTTCCCCATCATTGGGTCCCAGTCTCCACCTCCTGAGCCCCCCCATGACAACAACGGGC